CCTTTAGACTTTTAATTGCATTCCAATGATCATGTGTGATCTTCTTGGATATATTGGACTCCTTCAAGGTAGGGCTACACAAAGAAATCGTGAAATCAAGAACCAAACTGAATTCGTTGAGTTGAAACCGCTGGTTCGGATCCACGTGGACCCATGGTTTCTTTTCTCTCAAACCGAACCAAACCGTTTCAAAATGGTTTGGTTTAGGTTTTGATTTTCAAAAATCGCACAAAATTGAACTGAATCGTTTTTTAATTAAATAATTAGTTTTAATACTTTAAAATTTTTACAGTTTTCATTTTTCAAAAAAAAAACCAATTTAACAATACAAATTACAACAAGTTTATTGAAATAATCATATAAAGTAAATTAGGTTCATCATTATTGACCTATGATTTAACAGGATCACAATACATTTCCTTACTCGATATCTAAACTAAATTTAAATTATTCCAAAATCATATGAAATGAAAAAAAAAACATATATTTCAATAATTCAAATCATAATTCTATAAAACTATGTCAGCAAATCAACTCCAAAGTTTTAGAAACCCTAACATAAACTCTCATTTCCCTAACATTTGATTCTTGTCTACCACTAGTGAACGAATCGACGGTAGTATTTGCGTGTTAGTCTACTAATCCCTACCTGAATCGCCTCTTTTTTTCTTCTCTTTCGATAAGTCTTATATTTTTATTCAAGCATTTTTCCATTGTTCTTTTTTTTATTTATTTTTTTTTTGAACTTATTATGCACTTGTGAGTTGTGGTTTAAATAGACAAATGATTGGTTGTGTACCTAGATGATTAATGAACTTATTTGTGATTTAAAAAGAATGAAGATTGGAGCGTATTGATTGTGTGAAAATGTTAAAGTTTCCTAATTAGTACTACTACCTTATACTTTAATAAAGTTGTTAGATGATGAAATTCGTCAATTCAAATATATCGAAACTCTATCAATCTTTGTACATCTAAATATATCCCGTTCAATCCTTATTTAAATCTCACAAGCAAAACGAAAGGAGTTTTAACCAAACTATAATAACAGAATGTAACTCTACCTTTACCAACCGCTATAATATAATATGAATGCCAAACAAGAAAATGTAAATAAAAAAAAAAAGAAAGATCTATTTGTTCTATTAACATCTTTTAGCAACCAACTTTAAAAATAACTTATTCATGAGTTTCATGGTAAATATGAATATAATTTAACATTTAATATTATTGGTTCTTGGTTAAACTTATATTTAACTTATATTAAATACATTACTATGATGTCGAAAGGTAAATCGTGGATTAAAACTGAACAAAATCGCAAATTATGGTTTGGTTTGGTTTGGTTTGATTCGAAAAATAAAATGGTTTGGTTTGGAAAAATTTCATATCGCAGAAAGTGGTTTGAGTTAAAAATATAGTCCAAACCTCCCAAAAACCAAACCGCGTTCACCTCTACTTCAAGGACCATACTACTAACTCCAACTCTTTTGCTATAATTAGGACTCAAGAATTTAACTTTGATTACAACACCTCAGTAGACTCCTTGACTTTTACAACTCCTTTTATACTAATCCTTTTGTCCAAAGAATTGCCAATACAATATAAACTTAACAGTAATGATCTTTATTATCCAAATCGATATTTAAATTCATGTATTTAAAGCTATTTTTAACAACTATTGATTAAACATTACTTCGCCCGTCCTATTTATATAAGCTTGTTTTGTTTTTGACTCGGATTACGAAAGCTTATTTGATATTATTGAAAAAATAATTTTTGCCAAAAATTTTTCTAATTTACCTTTATTTATATTTGTACAATTTCAAGATTAAGTAAAAAAATTGATTATAACTAGACAAATTAAATAAAGGTATATTAATAAAGGAACAAAATAAAATATTTTCAATAAAGAAACATAACTATATAATTGGGATAAGAAAATAAGGAAAGTCAACCTATATAAATGCGATGGAGAAAGTAAATTGTCTTGCTATCCATTTGTATTGCCTCTCACTATATATTATAAATGATTTTTACTGTGTTACAATAATTTATTGTCAAAATCGATGTTTTATTTTCTAATTGTTATAGAGGAACACGAAACAAAGTTTTTTTTTATTATTTTTTTAAGAACTCCTCAATGCCTCCATTTACCTTTTTTTACTTTTGAATTTGATTCTGGGTAGGTAATCATTTTTTGTTGAATTTGAATTTCCTATCAATTGTTGATGATGACGGACATTTTCTTTTTAAATTTAATTCCTATAAAGTTTCTTCAAAAATATCATGAAATAGAGTGAAATATTTTCAACTTAACATAATAGCTTATGTACAAACGTGGAGTCTCATGATATAACTCAATTCAAATAACTAGGTCAACTAAGGAGTCGAGTTTATTGATCAGAGTTTCAAGCAAGCATTTTCAGCAAAGTTCTACTTGTGCAGTTTCTTGAATTGAAATAGCTTATGAAATAAGGTCCTTTTCTATTATTGAAAAATGAGACGATTTTAAGTTTTTAATTAAGATTAGTAGAGGGTAGTTGATATATTTATTTTCTAATTGGCCCGAAGGAGAAACATGCTTTTGGAGTACGTTGTCCTCAATCAATACTATGAAAAAATGGGCTCTAGCGACCAACACTTTAGCGACCATAATAAAGAGGTCGCTGTAATATACTTTCACAGACCATAGACTGGTCGGTGCAGGGCATTGGTCTGCTAAAATTGAAATATTTTTCGGAACTCTTTTTGTGGTCCCTTATTATCATTTTTAGCAACCACCAAATGTTGGTCGCTAAATAATCAATCGCTGAATATGCAGCGACCAACTAGTGGTCACTGGTAGAATGTTCCAGCAACCAAATTAGTTTAGTCGTTGAAAGACTTGGCGCAATTACTCCCTCTTATTTTTTCCACGTTTTTTAGATTCTTCAGCGACCAAAGAATTTGGTTGTTGATTAGTACAATGTTCCAGCAACCACAATATGGTCACAAGTTGTATAACTTTCAACAACCAAATTTTATTTGGTCACTGGAACACTTGGCGCCATCATTCACGCTTATTTTTTTCAATATTTTGACTTCTATAGCGACCAAATTCGTTAGTTCCTAATTAGTCAAGGTTTCAGCGACCAAACATTGGTCATTGGTATATGCGTTTCAGCAACCAAATATTCATGGTTGCTAAAACACTTGGTGCCATTACTCCCGCTTGTTCTTTTAAACATTTTGACTTCTACAGCGACCAAATTGTTTGCCTTTTAACAACCAAATTTACTTGGTTACTGGAACACTTGGCGCCATCACTCCCGCTTATTCTTTTCCACTTTTTGACTTCTATAGCGATCAATCCATCTTTCACATTCAACAGCCACCACGATTAAAGCTACCATTTATTGGTCGCTTTGATGTATATATGCAACAACCACACTTTTCACCTTTACCAGCCACCACGATTGAATCTTTTAGCGACCAACTAGTGGTCGCTGTAAGTATATGTACAGCGATCGCACTTTATTGGTCGCTGAAGAGCTTCACAGACAGCCTATTACCGACCAGTCAGTGACCACAATTATTTGGTCGCTAGAGTCCTTTAGCAACCAAGAAAGGACTGTAGCAACCAACTTTTTTGGTCGCTGGACCCTTTTTTTTTTTTTTTGTAGTGCGAAGGCCAGCCAGCCGGCCATATTTGTTTTGATAAAAAGGCAAATTTTATCAAGCAATATCATATTATTTTCTTTTTAATGTCTTCTCACTCAAAATGCAATTTGTCATCGCGACTAGCACATATTTGGACTAGTGTAAAGATCGCATTTGTCACAGTTCGATTTAAACCTCAAACAGCGAAGAAAAAAAGAGTCTCAATTTGATTAAAATCTAAATTCTTAGAAAAGTGGGCTATAATGCTTGACATTATTGAAAAATAAAACTAAAATATTAAAATATTGCCTAGATTAATCCAATATTATTCATGCATAATTTCTAACCAAACTCCATACTCAACTCATTGCCCACATTTAATGAAGCTTTACTCAAATGTTATTATTATTATTTTTTCACATTTAAGATAAGATGATTTATCTTATTGTATAAAATCAAATAAATATGTTGAGTGCATGTCACACTATCATTTAATTACATAAGCTTCAATAAAAATATAAATTAAGTTCGTGCAAATAATTATTGATTCATCAAGGACATGCATAATATTTGTTTAACCTTGTCGTGTCAATATATGTAATTGACATTATGACATCCCTCACCTATCCTAATCTTGTCGTCTGCCCTTTATTTTAAATTCTTTATCAGTAAAATACCATGAAATAATTATCTAAATCACAACCTTAAAAAAATAACCTTAGGAAAAAAAATTAAATTAAAAAAAAATCTTGTGGAGATAGACGGACATGTAGAATATGATAATATCTGTGTATCTAACGAAGCTGCACAACAAATAAGTTCGTGTGCTTGTTCGTCTTTTTCTTTCCAATATTTAATGCTTGTAGTTTGGAATACTCGAAAAACCATTTTCTTGCATGCTCCTTCACTGAAAACCACAATGGAAGCTTTTGACAAATTTTCCTTGCAAACAATTTGAACTAGCTAGGCTAATATATAAAAAATATTCTATATAAATTTTTTATAACTTCTTATTTATTTATTTACTTATTTTTGCTGGGTCAAAGGGATTATAGCCTAGAGGAACTCCCCTAGACCATACCTACGCTGTAATTTTTATGTAATTGTGATATGTTTGTTACATTGTTCTTTATCAAAATGAAAAAAAAATAAAAATATATATATATATTTTGCCCTATTCTCATTTTAGTTTACTACACGTATTGTAGTTGGACACATCACCAAATTTATTAAATCGACTAGCAAGTACATGATCAGTGGTTAATTGAAACATGCATGTAAGTTCAGTGATTGTTTATGTTAAAAATAAAGTCTGGTGACTAAAGCCACACATTTTAAAAGTTCAACGACCAACAAAGTTATCAAACCTTTTACATGTACATACGATCTCTACTAGATGATTATAGTACAACTTATAAGGTCTCCACTACAGCTTATTTACAATAGAATACGAGAATACGAAAACACGGCATAAAAAACGGACTATATAAACATCGATGAGATGAAACCATACTCTTCTCCAATGAGGATTTATGTAGAGAACTGCAGCCATGCAAAGCACCACAGATACACAAGAAACGGCAAAGCTGATGTAGAAGACATCCATATCCACGAAACCAGTTTCGTCATTAGAGACGATAGGCGATCCTAACGTTGATTCACAGTCAACTGGCAATGGACGACCACAAAGAAAAGGATTTCCCTTATAGCAACCTTCATCAAATGTTCCAAATTGACCTTTCTCTGGTATCATGCCTGATAAATTGTTATTGGCCACTGAGAAAACTGCCAAAGAGTTCAAGTCACTTAGTCCAGTGGGGATTCTCCCACTCAAGCTGTTGTAGGAAAGATCCAGACTCTCGATCTGATGTAGATTTGAAAAAGTAGCCGGCATTGTCCCAGTAAGATTGTTGTGAGATAAGTTCAGTGCACGTATCTCCCTCAGCATTCCAAACTCCTCTGGAATTTCACCGTGTAATTTATTAGAAGAGAGGTCGATGCCTGACATGTGGTCGAGGATGCTGCCCTTGTAAGCATAAGAATTTCGCTTCGTAGTAAATACAGTTTCAATAGGCACATTAGTTGATGGAAAATACACTCTTTTGTATAAGGATACATGAGCCATTTCCGACTCACCTCGACCTATGAAATCGGATACTCCAAAAATAGAAGATTTATCTTTAGTTACCTCCAGAGTTATGTTATCCAAGCAGTGCGGAATCTGACCAGAAAGATCATTATAGGATAGGTCTATCATGCTCAATCTCTTCATTTGGCATAGTTGTTCCGGGATTGTGCCTTCAAAATGATTGCCTCTAAGAAGAATGACACTCAAGCTCAATAGATTACCAATCCAATGTGGGATATTTCCGGTAAATCTGTTCTCTCTAAGATCCAACGTGACTAGAGAATTACTATTGTAAAACGCATACGAAAGCTGGCCTTCCAGAAGATTATTGTTTAGAAAGACGTGACTTAGGCCTCGTGGATTGAAGCAAGACGGGATTGAGCCAGAGAAATTATTCTCCGATAAATCTAAGAGAACCAGGTTGTCAAGGTTGCAAAATTCCACTGGTATTGGACCCCCAAGCTGATTTTTGGACATAGCAACTTGCCTCGCTCTTGTCATTTTACCCATTGACATGGGAAGATTGCCAAACAATGAGTTGTTACTAATGTCTAATACTTCCAGAGGAATGGTAGACAAGCTATCAGGTATGGTGCCGGAAAACTCGTTACTATCTAAATACAGATATACCAAATTTGGCAGGTTGATAAATTCAGGAAATATTTGTCCTTGCAATTTGTTATTTGATATTTTGAAAAGGAACAATGAGGAGCAGCCTGCACTTAATTCTTGTGGTACTTGGCCCGACAAGTTATTGTTGGATAGGTCTAGAAATTCTAAAGCTTTCAAGTCGCCAAAACTAGAAGGTACACAACCATCAAACACATTTCTAGACATGTTTAAAACAATCAAATTTGGAAAGACTGCACTTATATTAGTTGGAACCTCTCCCCTCAAATCATTATTAGAAATATCTAACAGTCCCAAATCCAGTTTGGCACTTGATGGCAACTCGAGAGGTCCCGTCAAAGCATTATTTCCCAAGTCGACTCCTTTATGTCTTGTATTGTTCCCTAACAACCAAGACGGAAAATTCCCCCTCAAGCCGTTCCGTGAGAGATCAAGAATTCTCAAGTCAAATTGGTAGTGAAGGAATTTGGGTATTGTTAGATGGCCCGTGCAGTTTGACATACTAAAAGATTGCAGCTGAAAAGTTGGAATCCAGTTACGCGACACTGTTTCTGCTATTGCTTGGTTTGTTCCAGCAGTTATGACTCGAAGGTTTGAATGATTTGAGAATAGCTCAAACGAAATTGGCACTTGAAAATTGTTGTGACTCAAGGAGAGATATTCAAGTGACTTGAGTTTGGGAAGTGGAGAGAATGCAATATTTCCAACAAATCTATTGTAAGAAAGATCAATAAATCGAAGGCATGTCATGTTTCCTAGACATGAAGGAAGTAATCCTTCGTACTTATTTTTACTCAGATCCAACTTCTCGAGGTTTTTAAGTTCACACCAACCTGTAAATGAAATGGTAACAATCAATGGTTTGAAACCGCATCAAACGAAAATGAAAATGAAAATAGAGATATTAATTATGAAATGAGTTAGATGCAAACCAAAAGTTCAATTGAGGGAGGAAAACTAACGAAGATCTCAACAAAAAAAATGGAGAAATAATTGAAAAGGCAAATGTGAAAAAAAATTCATTAGTCAGCATGCTTAAATCATAGAAGGGCACGAGAAGTTTACCTTGGGCGGGAAGGGTGCCATTGAGTTCACATTCTGACAAAGTTAAAAATTTCAAAGAAGTCATTACTCCAATGCTTTGAAGAAAGTTTGCATCCACGGAAGAATGGTCCAAGTACAATCCCTCCAACTGGCTTAAATTCCTCAATGCTAATCCACACACACACACACACACAACAACAACAACAACAACAACAACAACAATAATAAAAATCAATATAATGTACTTGAAATTGGAGTTAATGTTCCTCATAAGATGATTAATAAAGACTCTAGATTACCATAAGTGACTAGCATTCCCTCTAAAGTATTGTTTCGTAAGTAGAGTTTCTTGAGGTTTGAGAATGGCGCCAAAGATTGTAGCGTGTTACTAACGTTGGATTTGATGCCGTCTAAATATAGTGCCTCAAGGCGACACATACTTTTGATGCCTGACATGGTGGGAAAACATATAAACTCTTGAGCAACACTAGAGCTTAAGCCCATTAAAGCATGTTTGCAGGGACACTTGGCTATTACTGGATGGTGTTACGAAGAAAAAGAAACTAAAATATCTTGTTTGAATACCCTTTAGTCATGTCTAATAATGCATACCAAACATGCAATTAAAAGGGAAATTGAAACCCGAAAGATCTTGTTGAATACCTTCAGAAGCAGTAAAGTTATCAACTTCATTATAACTTAGTTCCAGCTCAACCAAATTGCTCAAGGCATGCAATTCTTGTCATAAAGAAAAGAAACATATAAAAGTGAAATGTAAGACTTGTCTTGAGGGAGTGCACAAAATTATAATTCAAATTGATTGAGGAAAAACAGAGAAAAAAGGAAGAAGACTGTAGAACTAACCATTCATTTGAATCGATCCTTTTATTTTATTTCCAGAGAGGCCCAGATATTTAAGTGACGATAGCCCCTGAAGTGAGGAAAAAATGCTGTTGTTGAAGTCGTTGGCGTGTAACTCGAGGAGCTTCAGATTTTTCAGTCCTGTGTTGTTTCCAAAAAACCCAAACAAGGCGATTATCATAGAAATGACTATAAGTTGATGTTTAGTACACAGTATTACATCGTACTACACATTAAAATGGAACAGAGTTTAGTTTTCCCATTTTTTAAAAAAAAAAAATTATTTAATATTGTAACATACAGTACAATTTGACTTACTAAACATCCACAAAATGGAAAGAATGAAACGAAATAAAAAAGGAGTGAACAATAAACATCATCTAAGAATAAGTTTATGAAAAGATCCACCGTTAATGGTTCCCAAGCTACGAAATTGATCTCCACTTATATCAAGCTCCTTCAAGCTGTTAAAATCATTCAAATCTGTGACAGTGAATTAGTAGTGCACCAAAAAGCTCTCTTATCTTATATGAAGGTTGTTGTTTAGCGTATCTAAAGAGAAAATCTTACTCAATACCGATAGAACATCACTGTCATTAACGGAATTAAAACTGAAATCAAGGATTTCCAACTTGCTTAATCCCGAGAGTCTTTCATGGCCTACACAATGTTAGAGTTTCTTCTGTAAATAAGGAGGTAGTGAACCTCCGCAATAGTTTCGAAAAATTAAAAAACAATTTTCCTTTAAACTTACTGTCAATAGAAGTTTTTCCAGGCAAAAAGCTGTATCTGAGGTTCAAATTCTTGAGAGAAGATAGTTGACTAAGAGATGCCAAAATGCTGCGATTAAATGAATTTTCACCAAGACCAAGGGCCTCCAAATTTCTCAACTTCGATAGTCTGTCGAAACCTGCGAGAACATTCAATATTCATCCGTTAACAGGTAAGTCTCACGTCATTAAATATGAAACCATTATCAAAATACAAGTTCTTGGACTACCAAACCTAACAAGGTTAACTTTTTGATACAGAATTCAAGACTAATAGTGATATCAAAGCCCATATAGCTCAAAAAAGCAATTCGATTCCATCTTGTGGTGACTTGTTAAATTGATCCCACGTGATTTAAATGGGTTAAAAAACAATCAACATACAAGGACATAGATTACACGACATTTAGCATAACTTTTGAAAAGTCAAAAGGAGCTTATGGATCCATTTCATTAATTTTATGAAAGTGTTTCTTTTAGATAGATTTCAGAGTAAACTGGTCCAACTTGGTTTCCTCACGAAGCACTTCGAAATAGGAAGTTCTTTTAAAATTTAGTTTTGAAGCAAAAATTAAGGTAGCTTCCAAGCTCCCCTATGTTAAATAAAAGCAAAAGTCATGCCAAGGGGTTATATTTTACGAAGGAACTCAAATATCATAAAATTTTTAGCTTCCAAGCTCCCCTATGGTTAAAAAATAAAAAAAAATAAAAAAATAAAAAAAAAAGCAAAAGCCATGCCAAGGGGTTATATTTTACGAGGGAACTCTAATATCATAAAATTTTTAGCTTCCAAGTTCCCCTATGGTAAATAAAGCAAAAGCCATGCCAAGAGGTTATATTTTACAAGGGAACTCAAATATCATAAAATTTTAACATTGGAATAAGAGTAGACCAATAAAGATGACAGCAGACCTTCATTCTCAATCCAGCCTACTAAATTATTCGACCATAACGAGAGACTTTTGAGATCTTCAAAGGGAAGAAACAAAGAGGCATTAAAATGCCAATCTCCTAATTTTGGGTCCCTAGTCCAACCGAGATTGAGTTGGGTTACTTGTCTACTCCATCTGCTGCATTCAACTCCTCTCCACAGACAACAGTCTGCTGCAATCCATGACGAGAGGGATTTTCCATCAGGGAAGTTTATGTTTTCTTTGAGCTGCAAAAGAGCACTCCTCTCTTCCTCCCAACACCCAAAACAAGACCATTCATTTAACGAAACCACCATAAAAAACCACAGCCAAAATTTTACTATCTTCATTATCAAGACACTAAATTCTGCAATAAGAAGGCTCCGAATTTCTTATTGTGTGCTTTATAAAGATGCCGTGTTGGCAATTCCCTTTAAAACAAGAAGTCACTGTGGATTGTGATGTGTGTATATATTACGTATTTATATTTTACTTATTTATGATTAATT